CAACGCCAGAGTAGATAGATAGATAGATAGATAGATAGATAAATAGACAGACTAACAGACAGACAGATCTATTTCCAACCTCGAACCGATCTGAACTATTAATGATTTATATTATATAATAATATACAGCCACTAGGTATCTTTGTTTAGGCGTTGTTTACCCCTTTTCGCCACGGTCTTTCAAATCATTTTACATTTTCTGTTAGGAAAAGAATTCACTGTGAGTGATGTTCCACCACTCCTCCTCCCCAGACCTCAATCCGTAGCGGAGAACATGATGGAGCTGATCGAGGACCAGACAAAGAACGGCGCCGTCATGAAACTCTCCAAAGTAGGAGGCAAAGAGTACCACAAACTAACATAGACAACTCGAGTTGCTTCACCACATCCTTTCTACATGTGTCAAGACATTGCCACTAACCATCGTCATCTCATCAATGAGCAAGTTAAAAAAAAAGTTAATGCCTCACTAATCTCAAATGGAATATCGAGACAGGCAGAATACAGCTGTTGTTGCTTCATAATGTGTTTTCAAGGCGTACTGTAGAAAGAAATTCTTGTTGATTTTGATTTTGAATTATAATTCTGATGGATGCTGTAAATCTAAGACATGATAATACTGTTTTTTCTTTTTTTTAAAATTCAACATGTTTAGGAGAATAGCTTTGTCGAACCTGTGCGAAGAAGAAAGTCTCATTTTCCTTCCTCGAGGGTTGTCGTAGGTAAAAAAATAAGAAGTTAGGAAGTTAGGTTGGTACTCCATAGTAAAGAATAGATTACGAGACGAGCTTTTTGGAGATGTAATGTTGGTTTACTACCTGCTTGTTTCTCCCCCTGTGCTTTTGGTTTTTAGGTTGTATCAGATTCCATGGGTGGTTAAGGAAAATATTGTACCATACCTTTAAACTTGATCAGAAAATTCACAGGTAGAAAATTGTTCTATCTAGTACAGTGATATGAACCGAATGATTGGGTTATAAAAACAGTAACTTTTGTCAAAAAGCAAAAGAAATGGATACTGCCTCTTATACCCGCTGGAAAGTTTGTTGACAACTCGATTATGAACTGAGCAGTATTGCAGTCTCACTCACAGGTTGCGACTGTGGAGCGCCATAATAACTTTCTTCAAGGATCAACGTCTTTTACTAGAGAACAAGAGACCGCCCATTTGTAAAGCATTTCACCACAAAAGTGAACCTGAGAACTTTAAATTGTTTAGTCCCCGAGAACAAAATAGGAGACGCATGTCTCATAATCTGATCCTGATATTGATCTACCTATACGCAGTGTTACTTTTTTTAAAAAATCTGAGCTTGCAGAAATATTCGACTCTGACTTGCTGCAAAGGAAACGACAATAGAAAGGGAAGTGTTTGAGGTGGCATTAATTTTGCCCTCTTTTGACAAACTTCTGACTTTAAAAGTATACATATTATGTATATGCATGAAATGAAATGTATTTATGTATTATATAATGTATGTATACACAAACACACACACACGCGCGCACACACACACACACACACACACACACACACACACA